TTAAATAACGATCGATGTTGGAAAATGAGGGGACAATTATTTCTTGAAATATCTAAAAATGAATAACTGGTGAAGAAAGGCTTAACTCTTATTTCAAATTATCATAAAGAAATGCTATCACTTGGTATCAAGTATGTTTTTGGAGGACAATAAATTTTCTTTATTAAATAATAGCTAGATAGATTAATAATGTTTAAAAATACTTACGCAGTATTTAGAAAGAATCCTCCAAACAATAGAAATGGAATGATAACAGGTGGACCAATAGATAAAGCCATTGAAATATTTGTACTTGTACAAGAGATCAGATATCCTGTTAAATAACATAATGATATTAAATATAATTACTCCAAGATTATTATGACAATTTTGAACAACATTAACAATTTAATTATTGCATAAACAAGCATTCTAAAGTTGTGGATAAACATCCCCCGCGGTGGTGTTTGTTCAAGTACGGTCATTGAAATATAATATTTATGATCTCTGTAATTCTATCAAGTGAGAATAAATACAAAAGAATCCTTGGCGATTCAAATGGCATACTCATATTGCAAATATTCAATAAAAATATAAGTCTCAATTCTCTCTTATTTATTTCCAATAAAACTACACTTTTAAGCTAATTATAATCAACGAGTTTTGCTAAATTTGCTTACCAAATGAAGTGGCCACGTTTGCTACAAGTATCATGACACCAGCAGCTATAAAAAAATGACCAGCACCTGGATAAAGTCCAATTAAGGGATAAACTATGGATATAAAAAGTAGAGGAATGGCTATGAATATTGGAGTTTCTGCTAGAGTTTTACAAATAAAATACACCTCTGTTCTGTACATTCCATTACGATGTTCACGTAAAAATATCGGAAGCTCGGCACAAAAAACCTGGAATCAATTACAATTCTGTTCAGAAATAATCTCTATATTACATACTTTTGATGTATATGAAATTAAGCTTTACATGTTTCCTACTGTGTTTTGGAGATAAGCAGAATAAATTTTAGTTTAAATGAACTTATGAGTATGTTCAACTTGCAAGAGGTGTTTTACTGAAACTCCAAACATAATTATGGAAAATGTATGTAAAGTAAAAGTCAAGTTACAAGCATGAGTTAATGTTTAAGTGTATTCTAACATCATTATAAGTTAAAAAAATATTTTGAAATTATTTTTTTTTTATATTTTTAAAAATTTTAAATTATTTAAAAATGTTTCTTATTATTGAATGAAATAAAACTTACCGTTATAACTGCAAATACATTCTGGAATGTCATATTAGTTAGGAATATAAAGAGTGCACCATTAATGTTCATTACTCCGTCTTGATCTAATACTTGACCATAGTAAATAACTCCAATTAGAAGAGAAACCATCTGAAGAAAAATTTTCATAGGTTGTGAAAATATTATCTTTGGAGGAGTAATTTTATAAAGTCGAGTTGAAGACTTACAAATGTTTGAAGTAAACGAACTTTGATGAGGATGGGTTCTTTGATAACTGACAGCCAGGAACGCCATAAAACAGCACGAAACTGTTCACACCAAGAAGCTTTATAGGGTGATTTTTTATCCTTAAATTTTCTATCTTTTAACAAGTCTGTAAATTCATTCTGAATAGCTTCAGCTTCCAGTGCTATTTTCATTCCATGATCACTACGTTGGAATGCATCACATACTGCATTTATTGTATGTCTACATTCAGCTTCTTTACCTGCTACTACTGCCAAAACTTGAACAAAGTAGTCTGCTGGATTGTAATTACTTGGACATACAGCACCCACCCTAGACCAATAAATGATTTTAGTGAATATAAATCTCCAATTCATTTATTGCATTCAAAAAAATATTTTGACAAATTTTATTACGATTTAAAAAAAGTATAAGCTTGTTCAGGTGTTCCCATAAATGCTACTCGACCTTCTGCCATGAGAAGTATTCGATCAAAAAGAGCAAAAAGTTCAGAAGAAGGCTGATGAAGAGTAGCAATGATTGTTTTGCCTTGAGCTAAAATATTTGATTTATTATGTTTTGAATTAAACAGCTGATGCTAATTTTCAACTTCAAAAATTTCAAGAAATAAATTACTGCTAATTTAAAAATAATTATTACCAGCTAAATCTTTCAACACTGAAACCACCTGATGTGCCATGAACGAATCAAGCCCTGAAGTGGGTTCATCACAAAACATCAAAGGAGGATTTGTCAATACTTCTGAAGCAAAAGCGAGTCTTTTTCTTTCACCTCCTGAAAGTCCCTTAACTCTACCTGGTATTCCAATAATGGTATTTCGGCATTTCGTTAAAGCAAGCTATAAAAAAGTAATCATTACATGGAATTTATTAAAAGATTTTTTTTTTAGATTAATAAAGAACATCATTTTCTTAATATTTAATTACTATCAGATGAAAAATTAACATTTATTACTTCTGATATAACATCATTAACTCTTTCAACTCTTTGATAATAAGGAATGTGCCGATCCATTCGCACCATGGCTTGAAAGAGTAAATGCTCCTTGACAGTTAAAGTACCAATGAATAAATCATCCTGCTGTACGTATGCCGTTCTCGACGTAAGTACACTTGGCGTCACTCTTTGGCCATTTGCAGCCATCATTCCAGAGACCGTTAGACCTCGACCAGATTGAAAGGTCAGAGCGTTTAATAAAGTTGTTTTTCCTGCTCCTGATGAGCCCATAATTATTAATAATTCTCCTGGATATGCCACGCCTGAGACTAAAAATATATTTCGTTATTTTACCATTTCTTTATTAAACTCAATAAATTCAAAACATTTTAAAATCTCGAAGTATTCCAAATTTCTTTTTAAATTGATAAAAAATTAGTTTTTCTTTCAAATACCATCTGATAATCCAATGCTAAGCTAAAAAAATATAGTCTTAATCTAATTGATTTTATTATTTTCAACAAAGACTAGCAAAGAATTGATGATCGTAAAAAGTTTTTGAATATCTTCTGGTTTTCAATGGATAAATTTAAATTGAAATGGTCAAGCTAAGAATTTTGGAAAATAAAATTACATGACTTTATACCAAACCATATAAAAGCAATAGTATTATCTTTTAATTTTTTTTACCATCTTTCAGGATGTGCCTCTGTTCAACTGGTTTTCTTCTGCGGTAAAGACGTTCCCATGCCCGTGTACTTCGAGTGGTAGTATAAACATTCACATCACTCCACGTATAAGTAATTTTATCAGGAACCTCTAGTATTTTTTCACCTTCCGATCCCGACGAAACAATCGGTTCCATTCGTAAAACATTTTCCAAAGATGCATCACGAGTATTTGACAATTGTTCTCCTTTCGCTTCCCACTGTTTTAATTAATGTTTTTTATTTCAAGATTTAATATTAATTACAATAAATTTAATCGATATAATTACTGATTATTTATTAGTTAATTTATTGTTTTTGAAAGAAAGGAAATTTTGTTATCTTTATTGAGTACCGATATAATTAACTGGGTTCATCTCATAACTTTGATTATTTTTGTAATAGGAATGGTAAGTTATGCAATAAGAATATTATCTTTATTTAACTCTTCTTCCTTCATTATATCATTGTAAATTAACAAATTGATAATTGTGCAAACTAAACAGATCAAAAAATAAATTTAAATATTTGTAAAAAAAGAAATTTTTTTAGTTATCAGTTGAACGTTGAAAACGTATAAGACTTAGCAGTCCCCTTTGACAAGAATATCTTCTCTCCATAATCCCTTTGGAGTTCTCGATTTCTCTCGAGAAGCCATTCCCTTCTTCATCATGATATGGCTTCAAATTTCCTTCTCTACTTGTTATCCTTCTCTCATTGATTGTTACAATCAATAACATTTTTGTCTAAAGTAATAAATATTAAATGTACTCACAATGCTTATTGAATTATAATTTCGTTGGGTTGAACTTGTTGAAGCAGTTGGAGCTGGTTGAATTAAAGGCTGGCTTTCTTCAGTGGCAGTCATTTTTTACGTGAATTATAAAAGATTATTTCTTGAAAAAGAAGAGGAAATTTCCAAGCTTCAAAGATGATAAAAATTACTATCGTTTGTGAGACGTTTTTGCAATTTCTTTCATTGTTTGTGATAAAGTATCATTTGCAACAGTTTCTCAGTCATTTTTATCTATTTCGCTTTTTCACTTTATAATTTCTTCGATAAATTAAATTCAAATTATTTTGATTATTTGTTATCTGAAATAAAAATATTTTTAAAATTTATATTTACCAATTAAATAGCAATAAAAGAAATTTTTAAAGTGTTTTGAATTTGTTTTTTATCCATAATAATATATGACGTTATTGAATAAAAAAAATACACCCGTGCAATAAATAAATTTGTATAAGTTATTGACTTTCTAATCAGTCAATTTCTTTCAAGTGTTCGAATGGAACTATAATCGCTTTAATACATCATATAGATTTTAATCTATGTTTTACAACAGTGAACTTTATTTCACATCTCAATAAAATAATCATGAAAAAACATAGTTAAATTATCTCTATTAATGTCTGAGAAAGTATAATTATTAATTAATGAGAGAAATTAATTGGAATTTTTTCTTAATTTCTATTACTCTATCATAAATATGCAACTCAATTGGACTTACATTACTGATACTTTTTATACAATTAATTGAATTATTTTAACTACTTCACCACTTGAATGATGATAGTTCACAAAGAAATGAATGATAGTTTTTTTACAATATTCACGTGATAAATTAACGTTTCGAAGTGGGATGATCGCAGAGTAGCTGAGTACTGAGCTGTATTGAAAGCGAGCTAAGACTAATATACAGAGGGTGATATTATTACAACGTGTACCTTTATATTTTTTTGAAATCAATATACATTAATATACTTGTATTTTTCAATTCGATTATTTATCAAATATATTTTAATTCAATCAATAAATTACTACATATAAACTGTATACCTGGAAAGGAGATTTTAAATCAATAAGACAATGAACTACGTACTATCGTTGTGAATTTCTATTTGTTTGCATTTCGTTACATAAGTAATAAATAACGTTTGAAATACATTGAATTTGGTTTTTAAAAGCTAAACGGTATATACAAGAATAATTAGACAAAGCATATTTATAATAATAGTGATGGCGTTCATCAGCAATTTCAGTATATACTTGCCTAAATAATTCTTTGCAATTAATCTCGTAAAAATTTATGATATAAATTAAAATAATTCATATCTGACCAACAGAAAATCGACAAAAAAAAACGAATAACAAATTCGTTTATAATAACAATTTGTTAATGATTTGAATTGCATTTTTGTCGATTATCGATCGACGGTCAATTTTTTTTTTTTTTTTTTACTAAAATTGATCGATTTAAATTTTTCATCCAGAATTAATGAAAATCGATCAATTTATTCAACAGATTCAACGTAACATTTTTTACAATTATGTACATATCTCTTAAATTCCAATGATAATCATAATAATAGCCGAATAATTTTCACAACATTTTCATTAATTTCTTAACAAGTCATATGACAAGTTGACTTGCTTATATACTGACTAATTCAATTGCTGTGTATTAACTAAAAAAACGGCTAGAAATTACAGATAAACTAAACTAAACTTATTTCACCCAATAAATGATAGTAACTTAAAATAATAATGACAATTTAATACAATACATAAAAGTTACGTAAAATTAAATCTCTTGCGAAATTTTTGTGTAATTTAACGCACAATTTGTCTCAATAAATCAACCTAATAGTTAATAAATTAACTAGTGAACATGTAATTTATATAAATCTAAATATTAACTTATGCTGTTCTTACTTTTTTTAAACAGAGCATGGTTTATCATATCCCAGAAACATAATTACCCTATAAATTATGATAAATTAATTATTATAAATGATATAATAATCATAATTATAATTAATATAAGAATAGTGAGGAGTACAATTAAAGAAATAACGACGATTGTGGCAAAACTAACAATTAAATGTAATAATAGTAATAATTATAATAAAATATTAAAATAATAATATTGATAATAAGAGTAATATTATTAAATATTTATCATAATTATAATTGCATTGTACTTGGTTGCATCGCGACCAAACCTAAAAATGTAGTCTGTGTCTAAAATTTTGTTCACTTTTTTTCCTTCCATTACAATATCTATATTTTATTCATGTTTGTGAAAAATTGAAATTCATGAAGCTTCTATTAAATGCTTAACGATTTAATATCATTTATAGTCCATTTTTAGCCGATATTGTTCAAAAAAATATTAGTTTTATTTAATATCATTTATTTAAGAATAAATAGTCATAAAAATAAACTGCTAGTTATTTTGAGTTAAAATAATTTAACTTAATTATTTTAATATATTTTAATACTTGATAAGATATTTTTACAGTGAACGATGGACAAGGTACCACAAATATTCATCATAAGAAGAAAATTGATAGTATCTAGTAAACAGTGAATTTTAAACAATATTGGCAAAAAATAACATTAATTTGAGTCTTCAAGCTATTTCATTTTGTATTAGAGTGATCTTGAATGTAAGTTTTTGTTAATCCAATTTTAGAAATGTTGGTCAATTATTTTATAATCATATAAGAATTTTAGAGTATATTGCAACAACGGAAAAATTAAATAACGATATATAATTGAATATAAATACAGAAATTGAACAAGAAAAAATCTTTAAAACTATAAGATAGGCAGTTATAATTTTGTATCTGAGAAAATGATTTGCATCAATAAAGTCTTGGATAAACAGCGAATTAATATTATCTAAAATGATTTATAAATTCGAAATAATTAATGAAAATTAAAATAACAATTTATTGGCACTTGCGTATGTGATTGATTATTAAAAGTGGTGCCTATTGTGTTTATTTATTGTACTATTTATAATTAATTTTACTGTTCATTTGGAAAATCTAACTGTTCTAGCAAATATACAAAGCAAATGTAGTTATTGGTAATTTTTTTTTTTTTTTCATTAAGAATTTTTCGAAAAAATATTATTATAAATATTGTGTGTGAAAATTTTTTTAAAAATCTACAGATTTATTTGGTAAGTGTTTCATTCGAAAAAGATTCAATTGTAACTATTTATACGAATAGTTGACCAATTGTGATTAAAAATTGAAAAAGTTGTATCCTAATTATTATTTATACAATACAAATGAGTGGAGCCAGTGATTACATTACATTATGAAAAATGTGTTGTTTTTATCTAAATTATTTAAATAGTTGATATTGCTTTGAATAATCACACTGTTGTAGGCATATGGATTAACATGTACATTTTGTAGTGAGCATTAGACTCATAAAAAAAATATTCAAAACATTTGGCAATGTATGTTATCATCTTCATTTTCATTATTATCAGAAAATCTATGAAATCTCATTAAATGAATCGCTGACAACTACCACTCTTAATAAAATAATCATAAACAAATTTATAAATTCTGAGCACTTGCAGTCTTACGTTATTTTTTACGTAGTTTTATTATTTTTAGCCATGTTATGAGAAGCCCAATTCAACGAAGTTTTCCACGAATTACAAAGAGCTTCATCAAATTTGCTTCTAAAATGTTTTTGTGCCTCAGCTTCCGACATTTCTAATACCTATAACATTACAATTATTTTATTTATTATTTCTCTGAATAAATTAATTACTATTAATAATCATAATTAAAAATGTGTTAAATAATTTACCAAGGTATCTCTTAAATAATTAAGATCCTTTTCTGACGAAAGTTCGGGCAATCCCGTGGAGATCATCATAGCAAAAAGAGACAGAATCAATCCACCATGACGCCTAAGAACTAAAAAAGCCGTCTCGCAGTAATTCTGAAATCGTTGAAACTCAACAGCTTGACCCTTCTTAGTTTGTCCTTTGTTAATAACATGAACGAAATCATTAGTGAGTACAAAGGGCACTCGCTCTCGCCGGAAGCCGAATTTTTCCTTGAAATGTCCAAGAATATGACCAAAGTCTACGTGAAATAATTGGCCAGTTTTCTTGACCATTATGTTATCTGAATGCCGGTCAGCGATTCCGAGAACATAAGTTGCTACACAATAGCCAGCACAACTTAACGTAAATTCTTCTATTGCTTTATCAAGTGCGGCCTTTGTGGTATTGTGGTCTTTTAACCAAGTAAGAAGAGAACCGCGTCTGTAAAAAAAAACGTATTGCCTTAATTTTTTTCTCTACGATTAACTATTATAATTCTTAGTTATATCTTTAAAAAAATTAATCATTAATTTATATATTTTTTAATAAAAAGAATAACCTGAAGGCAGCTGTAGCTGAAAACATTCCCTTCTCTTTTTGAATATTTGCAATCGTTTCAGCGTTTAAGACTACTTCAATCATTCCAACTCGATTATCAGTAGATATGCATCGATATGGATTCATACGTAAATCTAAACCTTCTCGCTTCCACAATTTATCCATTATTCTTAACATTTGTAAAGTTAACATATCTTGTCTTAAATCATCTCCATGTTTCATAATTAAATAAATATCGTCTCCAAAAGGATCCGAATTATCGAACACAAGCCAAAGGGGTCTCATTTTACTATCCATTACTCTACACTTCTCAATTTTAATTTGATGCCATCGAAAGCTTGGATCCAATGGATTAAGAATATTGGAGAGAGCTTCTTGGCAATGCGGTTCTTGTAAATAATCCTGAAATGCTGTAAGAGCTAATTTACGATCTTTCCGTTGCTTCACTTGCTCAGAGACATTTTTTAATTTATCTAAACATTCCATTTGTTTGAATAAAATTTTCATATGTTGCTGAGCACCACGGCAGTAAGCTTCAAGAATGAGTCCAAATCGTACTGATACAGATGCTACTTGCATTTCAGACCTACAAAGACAAATTATTTAGTATAAGAACATAATATAAAAAATTAAACATTTAAAAAATTAAAATGAACCTTAAATGCCAGAATAAATAGTGTCCTATTCTCTGATTATTGAGCGCTCGTCGTAATAAAAATTCGGTGAGATCACACGATAAATAATTTTCATGCTTCAATGCTTGAACCAATTGCAGCAAAAACAAACTTAAATCTTCATCACTAACATCCTTTAAACAGCGAACTGCAAAACTCCGAACCGTTTGATCAGCATATGCATAATCTAATAATTCTAAGGCTCTTTCTACAGGCAATTTTGGCCACTGCTGTACTAAAGCAGTTGCCTCAGCAACTTCTTCATGATCATTCCACTCTACACATTGCAACAATTTTGACAACAAACTTGGTATCTCACGAAGACAGTGTCTTCTCAAAGCCCATATTGTCTTTTTCTCCTGCTCATGAAGTTCATGTAAAGGATCACGATCAGCAAGCAGCTTTAATTGTTCTAGTTGTTGTTTACTCATTTCAGACTCTTGATTTATATCCTCAGTTCCATAATCTTCTTTAGTTTCACGTAACTTCATGGCGTATTCAACAACTTTATCTGGCGAAGGATATAATACAGACTTGTCTTTTCCGTAACTAAAATCAAATAACAATAAAGTAAATAAATACACAGGAAAATTTTTAATATTAAAAGAATTATTTAGATGTTGATAAATACTTAGGAAATGTAAGCATTAAAGCAGCAGCACGATCTATATGTGGATTAGATACAACAGTCCCAAGAGGATGTAACAAATCTTCATTTTGCATGTCTTCAACATATGTCCATGTATAAAGTGTCATTGCACCCGTTTTGAATTGTGATTTAAAATCATAAATTGTGGTATTTGCCCAGCACAATGGATTTATAAAATAATCTTGTTTTGAATCTTTAACCAGTCTTCGATTTTTGAGGCCTTTAGCAGTCTTACTTATTTCATAAAGAACGAAGCAAAGTCGTGCATTACGTGGTATGTCTTTGACCCTGATATCAAACTTGAGCATTTCTTCCCAATAACAACTACCATCGGGATTGACAGTTATTTCTTTGGTTTTTTGACTCTCACAGAGAGACTTTCCACCGTGAAACAAACCTGCTTGTAACCCCACCTGAGGAATAATATTATCACGATTATTATGCTAAGTAAAGTTATAATTAAATTAAGATGATTTTCATTGAATTTTTATTTAGTTTCAATAATTAAATTTACCTCAACAGTTCTATTCGCTGCATCACAATTCAATCGAGAGATCCCATTGACGTTGAATACAAACCAATCTTCGATTTTCCAAGCTGAAATATGTTTACCTTTTTTGCGCAATGTAAGAGTAGAAAAAGTCGGTCGAGCTCGTTTTAAAGTATCTAACTCAGGATTTTCGAATAAATTATCCTGATCTACCATGACGTTATTTATATTTATTGTGATGAGAGTTGGAGTGATATCCCGTGATATGCAGTTCTGAATGTAGCTATATTGAATCAGCGGATAGTCACCAATCAAATACTCTTCTTGACCGCATACTTTTAACGTAAAATCCGATGGTATTTCATCCTTCGACATCAATGTATTTGCACGTTTCTTTAAAATTAGATCTATCAGTTGATATGGCGTTGTATCGTGAGATATTTGAAAAGTGTAAGTCGTCTGGAAAATAAAAATAAATTTAAATATATTTAATTTATTCAATAGAAATATATATATATTGTTAATTTCAATTAAAGCAAATGAAAATTTTTTCATAATCTTTAGTCAAATTGAAAAATTGACAATTTGTAGGCTCCACTCTACTTTATCGACAGACATTGGAAAATTCAAACTGAAAGCAAACAGTTTCGATTTGAATGTCCGTTACGTTTGTTATTGTTTATTTTCATTTTTATATATTAAAAAAAGATATTAATGAGAAGATATACTTTTGTATAGTTAATATTAATTGTAATTTTTTTTGTGAATTAATAATTTAATAAATTAAATCGATAATTCATACAATATTTCTAGTATAATTTAAAGACGCTAAAACTCCAACCTCAAAATGAATTTTGATTCAACGTTCCATTGTGATACTAACAGTGAAACATTAGCTCAAGGAAATGATGAAGAATTTGGTGATGATCACAAAGCTTTTCAGGCTTTGATAGCCAAACAAAATGCTGAGAATGAAAGATTAAAACAAGAAAATCATCAACTGCAGCTTAAAATAATTAGTATGACAACCCTTCAACAGGATTTACAGGAGAATATAGAGTTTTTGGAAACATCAAAAAAACAACTGGAAGCTTCAATAAACACGAAATTACAGGAAGCAGAAGACAAGTAATTCATAGATTTTCATTAATATGACTAATAACTCATTCACTACCGTGACAACTGTTACAATTATTATTTGTAGGAACAAGATAAAAATAAATACTTTAACCACTCGATTACATGAATTAGAAGCTACATTGGTAGAAAAAGACGAAAAGAATGTAGTACTACAAAAAGAATTGGATGAAGTCAATAAAAAATTATCAACACTTGTTATAGCTCCTCCTGTGAATGAAATTTCTTTTAGAAATGATATTTTAGGTCTAGAAGATAAGATACAAGAATTAGAAACACTGTTGTCTACTAAGCAGGAAGCCTGTTTAAAGTTGGAAGAAGATCTTAAAGAAACTCTCAAAGATTTATCCGAGTTACGAAAAGTCTATGATGTAAGTATCAAATCGTACTAATTATTTGCTCATTAAATAATTTCTCTTTCGTTGATTTAGGACACTAAAGAACGTCTGGCAGAACAGAATAAAATTCTTGAAGCTACTCGTGATGAATTAACAGAATGTAGAATAGAGTTAGATAATTTAAAAATGTTGCCAGCTGATCAAGCATCAAAAGGTTTGTACGATAAGTATTGGAATCTATAGAATTCATTTATCAAATAAGAAATATTTTTACAGGGAATTCAGTGTTTGCAGAACTAGAAGATCGTCGTCAAAAAGTATATAAAACGATGATGACTTACAAGCAAACCTACCATGAAATCAAACGTACTTTACAGGTTAAAAATAATGAAATAAAAGCTTTGCAAGCAGAAAAAGCTGCTTTACTAACAACATTACAAAATGATCGAGATGAAACTATCCGAGAAAATGCTAATCTTATTGAAAAATATAAAGAAACAATTACGGAGTTCAAATTTAAACTTGAAGATCAGCGAAAGAAATTTCAACTTTTGGAAACTCAATTACAACCAATTGATGATAAATATCAGTAAGAAAATTTTTACAATAATTATAATGACAATATTAATCGTGGAAATAAATAATATATAAAATATTTTATTAGGTATTTTTTATCAGCATTAGATGCTAAAAAGAAGGAAAATGAAGAGCTCATAGGAAAAATTGAAAATGCATCTATTCAAGCTTTGATAGATGAGGAAAAAAAGTGTAAAATAAATGATAATCTTAGATACTGGCGTAAAAAAGCCATTACTAAAGAGGTAATTATATATTACTGTAAAAAAATAGTGTACTTTTATTAATATTGTTTTTCTGTTTATGTATAATAGGCTCAGTTAAAAGCTATAGAATGTCGTCTTGAAACAGAAGATTCGCCAATTCATAGAGAATTATTGGAAATAATACAACAAGAAAATAAGGTGAAAAACATATTAGATGAAAGTTCTTATTCAGACCAACTAGAAGCAGGGCAAATAAATAAGTACAATGATATTACCAGTCAAGATAAAAATGATTTCGGATCCCAAGGATTAAAAATAACAGAATATATTGCTGAGGATAACTTAATTAATAAGAATATATCAGAACCCAGATATACAGATTTAATTGATCTTTCATCACCTCCAATAAATAAGGAAAGCTGTTATTTTAATATTAATAGCCCAGGGACAAAAGACGAACTTCAAGCTAAAGAAAACAACCCAAATTATGAGAAAGCTAAAGTTGAACAAAGAGGAATTTTAAAAATACTGGCAAAGATTGTAATAACACGTCTACAAACATGAGTTTGACACAAGCTGTTTCTTCTCATTTGGACATAACTCAAGAAAAAGAAAAGAAAACTTTGAGATTTCCAACTGATATGGTTGAACCAAAATCTTCGAGGAAACCTCTCAAGCAAATTACTCCTAAATATCCAATAATACATGTTTCACAAGATTCGACATTGAATGATGATCAAAATAATTAATTCAGAGAATTATTGATAATAAATATTTTTTCAAAAATTGTAGCTATATTATAAATGAATAAATTGTTCAATTTTTTACTTACTTCAGTACTCTGAAATTTAGTAAGGACCTGCATGTTCCCATCCTTGAGTCGAGATTCAATATTTTTCGGAATTGCTGAAGTTGGTGCTAATCTAGGTGGATATTGATAGCGCATCTTTTCCTCCCAATCGAGTTTTTGTCGTTGCAGTGCGATATCATCTCCCAACAGTCGCATTTTCCATCTAAAGTCATTGACTTCGGAGTTTTTCAATGCAGCAAACTCATGAAGACCTTTTCCTATCAGTACACCAATCTGTGAGTCTAAATTCCTGTCACCTTTGACCCCTTCCCTTTCAATAACTTTCAAGACAGAACAAAAAGGTTTTATATCACATAATCTTCTGCTTTCATCTCTTAACTCTTCGGCCTCGGCATTTGAATTGATGCATGAGAACACGTAAGATGGTGCATCTTTTAATGTACCATGGAGCGGATACTTGCTTGCTTCTTCCCATAAGTCCTAAAAATAAATTCGTCAAAATTATTTTTAGCATCATTCAACGGCATAGAATTAACAATACATACAATTTTTATTATTTTGTTTAAAATTAAACATAAAGAAAGTTAAATAAATGATTTCGAGCACAAGGATGAATCTTCGAAATCAAGAAAATGAGCTAAGTATCTAATGAAGTAAATATTTTATTGAATAAATGTATAATGCATTGAAGATTGTTTACCTCTTTGATTTCAGCGAGGGTAATATTCCGATTAGCTTCCAATGGAATGATGACACCATTGGGCATGAGACATGTCAACTCGACTACTTCAGTCGGAGTTTTAGTCCAAAAGTCGTAAGTATATGCGCTCGGTATGTGAACCATAGTGAAATATTTAATGAAACTCTTGATAAGTTCAAGAGTATGAGTCAGACATTGACAACATCGACAACTATAATACTAAAATATTGGTCAACAATAAAAATTCGCTTCATTTTTATGTTTATTTACATTTTTCACTTTGTAGAAACTCGAATTCCATCGTTTGTTCCCATTGTACAAGTCATAACAATGGACACTTTGATAATATATTAAAGCATTTTTTGCTAAATTTTTCGTTATGATGCATATTTACGTATGCCAGGTTGTTCAGCGCGCTTCACGAGCTGATATCATAATCAATTGTGCTTTTTCACTTTCCACTTGGTTACTTGTGAGAAAACAAAAACTCCAAAACAAATTCTTGAATCTTCAAGGTAAAACTGTAACCCAGCCTTACAATGTAAATATTATTATCGTTGGATGCACGCAATAACGACACAGGTCAGCCATTATTTATTTCGTTTGGATTAGGGTGGACTGAAACAAGGTAAAGCAAAGACAGATAAACACGTCAAGATAGGAATGTTTAATTTTAAATTACCCACGTTTTCATATTCTCCGACTCGTGGCGCTCAAGTGTAATTTTGGCGGCAAATAAAAGACAAATATTTAAATTTCATCATCACAAGTTTTATTTCTCTAAAAACTATTTCAATCAGTTCATGCTTTGATAAATTACATTAATAATTATTTTTAATATTTTAAATTTTATTTAATATTTTTTAAATGGAATACATAAAAAGTTTAGTAATTTCATGTATATATAATTATTCTATGAAAAATTTGCTAATTAATATTAATGAGATCATCAGTTATTGACATCGTATTTTGCTCATATAATAATATAAAATATTTTTTGAGGGCTCAATACGATGAGATAAGCACTACTTGATAATAACAGCCTGAAAAAATATTTTTTTCTTTACTTATAATATATATCGTAATTCAATTAAACTGTACACGTATTATAATATATTGATTGCATTAATTGTCTCTTAATTCTTCTCACTCAATTCCAAATATTGGAATCCCAATTGTCTATAATTTGTTTAATTTATTAGTAACACAGTCAATCACGTATATAATCTTCTGTACCACTCCGTAAGTGATTTCAATAGACAAGAATGGCTTATAATCCAAATCATCGAGTTACGTGTTTCCGCTACCAGCAATTGAATTGTCAACTTTTATCTCAAGTCCATATCACAATATTTTTGCAGTATAAACTGTGAAAATAATTATTTAAATAAATATCAATTTATTATTATTAATTATATAGATCAGTATTATATATGAATATTTTTTTAATGAATAATTACCAGAGAAGTCAATCAAGTCCAACATATACGTTATTATTAAATAGACTTTGGTTCCTCGTTCCATACGCCTTTCTCTCCACTACAACTTGTTATTTTTTCGTGATTACGCCTTGTAACTTTGTTGTAAATAATAATCATATTGATTGTTGAAATTAAATGTTTTCTGCAGTGATAGACATCACTGTATTTTGCTGATAGTTTTCTGATGATAATTAACTGATTTTCTTTATCAAACATCGTTTGTTGCTTTAATGAAAATGATGACTTTCCTTGAATTTCTCTGTAAAAATAACATCAGCAATTGATTGTTTTGTTGTTATAATGAGAAAACGAGTGATTTAGCTATAAATAGATGCAATGATACAGAAATAATAAGAAGTGAAAAGTGTACATAATAAACAATAATGGCAGTAACGTATATCGAAAATATAAATGAAAAAATAGTATTGAATTGATAATACAAGTGGAAAATATGTGTATATTGAAAATAATACTGTCTAAAAATAAATATGAGAATACATTTTTTTTCTCTTAAGATTGATTAATAAATGGAATGGAATTTCTTGACTTTTGGAATATAGATACATATATTATATATGTATATTTAAACATATATATTCATCAGTCCCGGATGTAAATATATTTATACAAGAAGAATATAAGTTTGTCTTAAAGTGATTAAATTTTGGAAAAACAAGTCACATAACATTCTCGAGAACAAGATGATAACAAAGTTTTTTCCTTCATTTATTCAGTACCCGTCATTTTATCTCTATCAGTCACGCCGGAACACGGTGGAACAAGCCATGCAGAACGTTTCTGTCCCAGCCGTGAACTTTATGAATAGTTTATATTAGATAGCAAGAGTTCGGCGTCAAGATGATAACCGTTTGTTCAATTTGTTGATGAATCGTCCTGGTTTCTTCGTTTCAATGTTCATCTCGCCCATGAATCTTTTTTACTATCAATTCATATTAATCATTCAATCATTCTACTTGTTTTTATATATGTCATTTCTAATTCTAACACTAAATTACTGATAAAAAATTTAACACACTTGTAATGTATGTATTATATTTAACATAAATCAACGAAAGTTTTATGCTCATCATTATTACATCATGTTTAAAATTTTAATCACAAGACAGAGACGATTATTCATTTTAAACTGTTCTTCACAATCATATTTTTATTCAATCCTTTATTTTATTATATTTATTTCACACTTGTTTTTAAACTCAATAATAAAAAAATAAATTCAAGTTGATTATTTTATTTTTTAATAATAAATGATGGTAATATTTAACACTGAATAAAGGTACACCAAGTTTGTAGGAGTAAAAAATATTTAATGTTGTTTGAGAATGAAATAAAAACATGGTAATAAATAAGATAAAATGAAAAGTGAAAATATTTACCGTGATTTAGATTCCATCTTGCGAAATCCAACACTTTTAATTAGAGGATGGAGGTTTGCAATACTGCTCAAGTTGCGCGTAGCTACACCACCGATGGCAACATTCTTCCACAATTCCCGGACCAGCTGAGACTCTTGTGTCTTCATCCCCATTACTCGAAAAAGGCTCATTATAACCACGATCACTGCAAACGAGATAAAGAGCATCACTCAAGCTCTTGGAGCACAATCGTAGGGTCCTCTGATGCGGCGCTGATTCAACCAAGGTCGATGGAATACCAAAAAGAATCACGAGTAGTAGTGTCGTGAAGAAGAACGGTAATCTCATTGCGATCGACATATTTCTAACGCAATTAATGATTATCCAATGTAATTTTCATTAAATCCTCAGAATGTATACGTTGTCGTTATATAATTTATTATCTTCCATGCACTTTGATGTAATTTCAATAAATGCTCTTGGATAGCTTATAATTTTGCATTGGAAACTCAAAAACAATTTCACAGTAATGTTTATCATCAAACTGATTTATTGAATAAATAATTCAATTAACCTCCCAAGTATATCAACAAATGATAACGTAAGATTGGTGTGCGATTGTAATTAAAATGAGAAGAAAACGTAGGTTTTGATAAAAAGAATGACAAGAGAAAAGGTCGGAACAGGAGAGAGAACTCGAAGACATCCGACGTTAGTCGGTACTTGAGTCCTACTAAAACAAGTTGGCTTTTCTGCGTGCATCTCATTCTTGAGTCGCGCGTTGAAAGATAGTGCAACGAGGGAGATCAAACGGGAGGAACAAATGATCCTTTTTCGGTGACAGAAGAACGTTTGCCTCGGCTAGACACATATTTATCAACACGTGGTTGACCGAGAGGCGCCAATAACATCTTTAGAAATCTTGGTGTAATTCTATAATTCCATTGTGTCCCAGATTATCGTATCTTATTCATTTTATTTTGCTTTCACTACTTTGCAGTCAAGTCTAGATTACATGGACCGTGAAAAATACAAACATGGAAGTTGCGTGAGATGTCTGTTTGATATATGTATATTTCACATGGTATTTAGAACAAAACGGTACTGCCACATTTTAGTTATAAATTTCTTTTATCTGATATTATTATCACACTGAGTGTTAAAAATAGCCAAGTTTGTTACGAAACTCCAAGATATTCTTATATCCAGTTCTATACCTTATTACTCATCATCTGTGGTATTATTCAACTTAGAAATCATCATTTCAGATAAATAACCTAACCAAAAAGAAAAAAAAATAACATCAACTCTGTGAAAAATATTTTCAATTTTAAGATAAACTTACCGAGTTTTAATCTAAAATAAATATATTCAATGTACTCTGGTATCGACAGTATTTTTGACTTCCACGGATGTTATTTGGTATTGTATATACATATATTGTATTTATGTACTGCTAACAAGAGTATAAACAAACACTATCACATTCGTCCTAGTTTTTTAAATAAAAATTCAGATGCAGAGAAATGGCCTGTTTCCATTATACAATTTAAATTAAATACTCAATTAGCATCAGCATATGACAGCATTTTTCAACAGATCTATTTACGTATTTTGCGGTCGGCTATAAATAAAAAACAAGGGATACCAACAGGGGAATGTCCCTGTGACTCATTCCCCCGCCGATACACGTTGTTATTTTTCTTTAATTAAGATAACAACGCAATAAGTGCATAAGTGCATACAATAAAATTGATTAAAAGCAATGTCGTGTCTGGCGATATTGCAAAATATGAGGATTTGTTTTGGAATCTCTCTTTACTTGTTTCCATCACTTATTCTTTTTCATGGTTGCCCCCATGTGTTATGGCACTAACCTTAGAGACATCAGACTCACTACCATCCATAGGTTCATATTGAAGTTTTTAAATAATAATAAATAAACAAATTATTATTAGAATTTGTTTCGATAAGTAAATCATTGTTTTTCCTCTGTTGTTATGATAAAGAACAATGTTATTATTTGTATCGTTTTAAATGTCACACGATTGAAATGAAAATTGTATAAAATAACCTGTTTTTCGGTTTTGTTATAATTTCATCTTTACTTTGTTATATTTAAAAATATAATTATTCTACATTGAAACTAAATTTTTAAAATTTATGTAACGAACAATAATAGATGAAATTATGTTGACAACAACAACTTTTCCAGATTCAAAGCAAGAATTTTGAAGGTATATTTTTTGTTTTATTCTTAGTCAAGAATTCTATTTTTATTATATTTTTGTTATTTTCTTTTTTACTTTAGATAATTGAATATGTAAACGACCAGAATGAAGAAAAACCAAAACTAAATTAGAATGTTATCAGGTTATTTCATATAAATATAATGTTTTGGGGTATTTTTAGTTAAGGTAAGACATCATTGTTGATAAAAAAAATTCCAAACTATACAGCCTACTTAATTAATAATTTATTTTAATTAAAAAATTCATCAATGCATAAATTTAAATGTAACCAGATATTCGGTTGATATTGCTCTTTATCAAATACAAAAAAAAAATAAAAACATTTTATCAATTAATGTATAGTTATTATATTTAATAACTTTCTCAATAGAGTTACATTCGTAAGAATTATCTTTCCAATTATTTTATTAGTAATCAAAAAAATCATATTCTTTAGTCTTTCGTTTCTTTCTAGTATTGAATCCAACGTACTCTTGCTCAAGTATCTATTAAAATTGTTCTCGATACTAG